CTCTGAATATTCTTCCCGTGCATGGGCGTGCTATAAAAAGAATGGAGGGGAGGCTGACTAACAGTCGTGCTGCAACGCGTTAATCGAGCTGCAAGCAGGGAAAACAACAGATTTCTTTTATAGCTTTGATAACGATGTGATTAATAGGAGTAAAAGACTGAATAATGGGCCAGTTTGTGTTAAAGATGGGATCCAATTATTGTTGGAAAGGAGCAACAAATGAACAATTTCATGTTTCTTAAATGGAAAGCTTTTACAATACCTACAGTAGATTGGGCTTTTTGTACATAAAAGCAAATGCTTTGCAAATGAACCAAATGCCCCTGGGTCTTATCTTTGATCTAGCAGCACACGCACACACACACGCGCACACACACACACACACACGCACGCACGCACGCACACACACACACACACACACACTACAATATACAATACACAGGAACAGTATAAAGTTAACACATTACTTTTATTTTCATCTGCAACAGACAAAAGCAGTTTTTTCAGTTTAAATGATGCTTCAGCTTGAAAACATGACTTTAATTATTTGCTAAAAAAGAATAAATAATTTTTCTGTTATCTTTATGGGTCATAAAGGAAAAACAAGAAAGATTATTTAGAATTCCCCCATATTAAAATAGAAATTAATGCTTTTTAAATGCATTTCCTAATCTTACTGCCTACGTTTTTAAATCGCTCCGTATGTCTGTATGTTTGTTGGCACTGGCTGCGTGGTGATGTCCTTGCTAACTATATAATTAAAATTGACATGTTGCACCCCTTATTTCAACACGATTAATCAGCGGTTTGCTGGTAACTTGAAAGGAAATATTAGATCCTGACTAAACTTTGATGAAATACGGAGTTACAAGGAAGAGATTTGGGTCAGCTAATGAGAACAGAGCACAGCACACACTGCAAGTCCGACCGGGGAGGCAGGCGATTTGCATGAATGCAAATACTGTTGGAACTAATTGCATAGGCTGGGATTCAGTGAGTTGTGTCTGTTGTTGAGTTGGGCTTTTACACAACAACACATCTTGTCAGCGAGGATAGTAATCTCACTGATGCAGGGTGTTTTTAGGTGTTAAAGACAAATGTTCCCATCGCTTATTGTGAGCCATCTTTCTCTCTAAGAAAAGAAATGTTGAATTTACTTAACCAAGTTGTGCCAACTGGGCCCACTAAACCAAGCTGCTTAAATGTAAATGTTAACATGTGTTTTCTTTTAACAATGCATATTACTCTTTACATTTAGGTTTAGTGGAAGCAGCTGACATAACTTGGATGAGTAAATTCAACATTTTGTTAATTACAGTGCATATTTTGTAGTGTACATTAAATTTCAGGCTCCTACTGAGCAGCGAGATATAATTTAAAGCAACAACTGAATTTATTCATGTTTTAACAACCTGACTTGAACCATCAGCATTCCCCGGGGATTGTTGATGCCTACATGGGACAAATTAGGGATAAACTGAACTGAGTGTCTGTATGATTACGATTAGAAAGCTGGACTAAAAACTTCCCCCTTACAAAAAACAAATTTCTTCATTAACTGAATAATGAATCAATAGTCATAAGTCACCCATTTCCAATATTCCATCCATCCATCCATCCATTTTCACCTGCTTATCCGGAGTCGGGTCGCGGGGGCAGTAGCCTAAGGCGAGAGGCCCAGACTTCACTCTCGCCAGCGACTTGGGCCAGCTCCTCCGGGGGAATCCCAAGGCGTTCCCTGGCCAGGTGAGAGACATAGTCCCTCCACCGTGTCCTGGGTCTACCTTTAGGTCTCCTCCCGGTTGGACGTGCCCGGAAAACCTCACCAGGGAGGTGTCCAGGAGGCATCCTGACCAGATGCCCTAGCCACCTCAACTGGTTCCTCTCGATGTGGAGGAGCAGCGGGTCTACTCTGAGCCCCTCCCGAATGACCGAGCTTCTCACCCTATCTCTAAGGGAGAGCCCAGCCACTCTTCGGAGAAAACTCATTTTGGCCGCTTGTATCCGAGATCTCGTTCTTTCGGTCACTACCCGAAGCTCGTGACCATAGGTGAGGGTAGGAATGTAGATCGACCGATAAATCGAGAGCTTCGCCTTCTGACTCAGCTCTCTCTTCAGCACGACAGACCGGTACAACGCCCGCATCACTGCAGATGCAGCACCAATCCGCCTATCAATCTCACACTCCAGTTTTCCCTCACTAGCGAATAAGACTCTGAGATACTTCAACTCCTCCACTTGGGGCAGGACCTCATCCCTGACCCGGAGAAGGCATTCTACCCTTTTCCGAATCAAGACCATGGTCTCAGATTTAGAGGAGCTGATTCTCATCCCAGCTGCTTCACACTCGGCTGCGAACCGCTCCAGCGAAAGCTGAAGATAATGTTCTGATGAACCCTACAGGACCACATCATCTGCAAAAAGCAGAGACCTGATCCTCAGGCCACCAAAACGGATGCCTAACCCTAACCCTTTTTCAAAAATTCCACATTTATATTAAAAACCTGTTGACACATTTTTGCATGTCATCTGCCCTCTGATTAAAGGCAAGTGTCACTGTTTAATTATTGTTCATTTTGTGATTGTGGAATTTTTTGTAAAAACAATAAAATGTAACAGAAACCATTAGAAAATCAATAGTCCAACCTTAAAAAGATGACAAATGAAATCATGAGAATATGAAAAGTCCATCTTTGCAGCGCAAATGTCAAGATTTGAAGGTTAAAGGTGACATTTCTCTCGTGTAAAGGGACATTTTTTATTACCCGGCCAAGTTTTGTTGTTTGAATTTTGAGTTTTTCATTTGAGAATACTAATCGCTGCATTCCTAACATGAATCAGCGACCCACCTTAAAAAGAAAAAGAAACGAAAAAAACTGCTCTTTGTGCTAAGTGATCAACCCCCCCCCCACACACACACACCCCATCACTCACTGACTGAATGGTGTTCTCTAATTAAGCATGCAGAACAGGCGGAAGAACACATGTTAATTTAATGTAACAAAAATGTTGATTTTCATGCACTCTCCTTTTGAAATATTTATGGGCTAGACTTGAATTTGAAGATGCATCAAAGACTCACAGGATATGCAAATGTGTCTGCCTTATACCCCCCAACAAGTTGGACTGTCTTGTCTTTCTTCGTGCAGGCTTCATGCATCTGTGCAACAAACAGGAAGCCAGACAGACACCGCTGTAGAAACAGTCCACCATATTTGTAATTTGAGAATGTATCACACAATTAAAATCTGAAAAAAAACCCTACAAAAATACTTTAGTAACATTTTCCTTAACTGATCAGATTGTCATTTATCTCTCTTTTGCAGAGTTAATTTCTTCATAATGTGCGTTTTGATGGAGAGCAAACGCGTTTTAATTCAGAAAAGTTTGCTTTAGGGTTTGCTGTGATGGCCCACACGAGGACACCTGCGGGAATTTACCTTCAGTGGCCAAAAGGGGGCGCATTAGGCCTGTTGAACAAAGCAGCGCAGTCCGGACAGGGGGAGTTGAACCCCACCGCTTTAAGTTACCACGATTGTAGCAGAGCAGAGATCATCATCATGCATGGATCTAAAGTAAAAACGCGGTTAGGTTGTTGCAGGATTATTCTGATTGTGTTATAAGCTGCAGTGCTGCATAACTTTTCCAGGTGATGGAGTGAATCAAGTTCGATGTACAGACGGAAAGTTCGTAAAGGTAAGAAGTTTATTTTTTCTGAAGGAGTGTTTGTGCTGGATGTTTTTCCTTGTTCACCTGAAACAGATAAAATGAACATGAAGCAGGTTACGTTTTGTTTTTATTTATTTATTTATTTGTCTGTTGTACCCCCCACCCCCGTCACTCTCCTCCTCATCCTCCTCCTCCTCCTCCTCTTCATCATCTCTCAGCTCTGTGACACTCCGCCGGTAACAATCACTGTTTCCTCCCGCTGCCTCATATCATAAGTAACTTTATTTCACTGATCATTCATCATTCCATCACCTCAGTTGTTCAGATCCCATATGTGCATCTTTTCCTGATATTTTCAGCTGAAACTGTTTTATTGTGACGCATCAGCGGGCCTCCTCCTCCCCCTCTTCCTCCTCGTGCAGCTGTTGATCTAAAACAGATGTTCATCCTGGACAAATAAACGCCGCTTCGTAAATGCTTCTGTTGTGGCAAGTGATCGCAACCTGTAACCTGGGTCAGCCGCTGCACTCCTGCAGCAATATCAGGTAGCATTTTTAAAAATTATTCCATGTAAAATTTAATTTTTATCAATCACTTAAATTGACGCAATCCATTTGCGCTAAATATTATTTTAAATGCGTCAGAAAGCAGGATAAAAAACGTGAAACAGCACGGATCACACACACTTACACGCATTTCTTTTTATTTCTGGCTTTGTGATGTAAATTTGTCTCATGACAAAAATGTTTAGGGATAAAATAAACACTTCGCGAGATGACAAGACTGAATCAATTAAAATAATTATTTTACAATCAGGACAAAAAAAGGAGGAGTGGATTACGTCAAAACTTTTCGAATTTCAAAAACTCACAAATAAATTCGGAATCTATAATAGTTTTCTTCCAAGAGTTCAATTTGATTTTATTCCAAATTATTGCGACCCGGTCTCTTTTTTCCCCTCTGACGTCATTCTGCTCGCATCTTCTCTCGCTACAGAAGTTGACCCAGAAGAGGGGTTTTCAGCAAATAATGTGATTCTAAAATACTTATCTCACGTTGAAGAGGCCAGCATTGAAAAAGCGCGCGTCCCAAAGGGAAACGTGTCATCTCTTGATGAGGAGAGGAGAAAAAAGTCGCCTTTCACGGATTTATTCATTTAACGACATTAACAAAGGGTCAGAAACAATCTTTTATCCCACATCTCTTCATCTCTGTCCCTCCCTCCCTCTCTCCTGTTTCTCTCTTGCATCTCTTGTGTCTGGGAGGAGGAGGAGGAGGAGGGAGGGAGGGAGGGGAGGGAAGGAGGAGGGGGGGAGTCCTGCCTCTTCCTCAGATCAATGCCCTGGCCACTCACTTTCTGATGTTGCACGACGGGAAATGCTTTGAATACTTGCGACATGGCTGCGCGCATTGATTGCCAAGATTGACAGCAGCTCTGCCCCGAGTCTTCTCCTGTCTGAGCGCGCGAGGGAGGGAGATAAAGAGCAGATAGACGGAACAACAAAAGGTACTTGTAGTTTTGGACAACTGAACTTCGAGAGCGTGCGTACGGGATCCCAGTCCCTGTATGGCCGAGCAGAGTCAAGTTTTCGCTCAACAGATAGCTCAGTGATCTTTCCCCCCTCCTTTTTTTTAAAGTTTCCCCAAAGTCTAGCTGAGAGCTTTTAGTCGTGTTTTCTTCTTTTTTTGCGCACCAGGAAGGACGCGCGGCTCTCCTCTCCACGGCTCACATCTTCAAGGTAAATCTCCCGTTTGTTTTGATATTTTTCTCCACCTCGTGTTTCAGCGCAGGCTTCCGAAAACTGGAGCGAGCTGTCACAGTGAAGCGTCCCGCGCTGTGCGTTTAAACAGACTGGTAATTATATTAGTAAAAATAGTACAAACAACTGCAAACTAAAACGAGAGCTGGTACGTCTTGTATCCGTGGAGCGCCAAACCTGTCTCCGCGTCTTTTACCAAAACAAATCGCGAGACAAGGACGGGGACAGTGGGTTCGGAGGCGCGCCGGTTCTCACAAAACCCAGTGAGTCCGTCAAATATTTAACTTTTGATTAACTTAACTCGGAGAAAACTCCAAAAACGTCTCAAGAGGATCCACACCACGTCTTCTCTCCCTGTTATGTGTGAGCTGCGTGAGGTCCGCGCGCTCGGACGGAGTTCACAAACTGGTGCGTAAAATCACACCGGAGCGCTTCCGTCCACCACATCAATATTTGATTCTTGAAAATATTTAGCACATTTAGGTGTTTACAAAGGTGTAACGTCATGTCCCGTAACTTTTCCCCGCTGGTGGCAGTTTCACTTGTGTCCACAGCGCGGTACCAGTCTTTGACAGTGACCTGCGCCTATAGGTTTGCTGTCTGCGCTCATGATGCGGACAAGTCTATTTGAAGCTCTCGCTCCATGCAGCCTCTTTCCACCTTAAACACACTCTGATTATTTCCCGCAGATCTGCGTGCTGTGTGTGCGCGCGTAGGTGCGTGCGTGCGTGAGTGAGCATGTGTGTGTTATTTGTTACATTTCAGGACTGAAATTTGGAGTTTCTTCCAGCCGCGCAGCTTGGGAATTTGCGCTCCTTCAACTTTTCACAGGGGTCGGGGGAATTGACCTCTCAAGAATGCATAAGCCATAAATTAAATTCAGCAATCGCCAGGCATTTAAGGGAGATGTGGGCTGCTTGAAACAGACAGTTTTCTGTTTAAAGTCCAGGAAGCCCTAAAGCTCGGCGCTGCGGGTTTAGAAGAGAAGTTCTCATGTGAAAAATACGAATTGTTAGATTTTTTTTCCTGCTTCTATAATGCGACCAGATATTATTCATTTCCAGCAGTGGCAGAGGATAATATTTTCTCTTGGGAGTTTTTAGGCCATAAATGATATTTCTGCAAAGACAAATAAAGCAGAAATCTATTGTTTGTCTATTAGAAAATACAAATATTACTTTTTCAATAGAAGAGCAACCAATAAACGATTATGAAAATAAAACAACTGCGTAGTGAAGCTATAATCTAAATGCGTAGTTACTTAAATTAGAATCTCTTCTTTATAAGTGTTCCTTTAAATGTGCAGCAGGAGTTTTTATTTAACTTCTTGAAAATATAAAATCCGATGTGATGTTTTGGGAAATTAAACACCTTTAAGCAGGTGTGTTGCCCCCCCCCCTTTCCCCCACCCGTGGCTAATTAATAATTAACTCTTATGTTTCTCTACTTTAACTCTTTAATCGTGTCAAACACGCAGAAAAAAACCGTCAGATTCTCATTCTTTCTTTTATGAAAGAGGAGTTTTGCAAGTTTTCCTTTCCTCCTGGAGCGCAGGTCTCCTCATAAGGTAAAGCGGTTCTGGCGCGTCCAAGTGGCTCGTTTATAATTAGACTGTCCATTCAGCACATTGTCCTGACTGCTATACAGGGACACTCGGCTCTGTCTCCACAAGAGTTTGTCTATGACGGCTGGAGCAGCTCAGCGTGTCGCTCTGCAAGACAACAGCCAGAGGAGGAAAAGTGCAAAGCGGCTTCAGCTCTTTGATGCCAATCCAACTCGACTTCATTCACCATTTATCACTATTTTATTTATTCAGCACAAAAAACTTAATCACCTCCTGCTTTACGCGGTGATCATAGGGTGTTTAAAATAACCTGATTAATTTATATTCTTCTAACAGTTTTATCATTAGAACCCACGATCATTCACTTTAATTATATCCGATATAAGCTTTAAATAAACTGGCAATTTGTTGCTACCTTTCAATACAAATTACACGGAAATAAAACCGTATTCATCACGTGACTGTTTCTATTTTAGGGATCTAATCCGCGGATCTCGGAGTAGCTGGAGGTTTTATTTATTTTTATTTTTTGGAAGACTGCAAGAAAACATTCCCTACCTGGACTCATCATAGACATTGCCTTTTTGGACTTTTATTTTGGAATTAAGGTGGAAAAACACCTGTCTCACATGTTTAAACACATCCTAGGGTAAAACACAGCCTATAGTGAGTTTCTTTATTCTATTGTTAATAATCCATTCCATCACAAGTGATGAGTCTACCTGAATAGGTTTCAGTGATTTACATATTTAACTGACCTCAACGTTTGAAAGCTTTTATTCTAGCGTTAGAATAAAACAGAAGAGACTGAGAAGGAAAGCTACCCATTTGTTCCTGTCTTACAATCCTTTTGAATTTAGCTTTTTATTTATTAGATTTGCTAGTTTTTACTCTAATTTTAGCAAATCTATAAAAGTACAATAAGTTCTTTTTTTAGTTGCAATCAAACAGCATGTTTTTTTAAGTCAGTAGTTTATGAGTAAGCTGCGATGCAAATGAACCTGCTGGTGTGTGTAGGTTTTGTTTCATGGCCTTTTGCACGGTGTGTATTTTGACATAAAACTAGTAAAATCACAATTTGCAGATTTTATTAATTTAAATGCTAAAATCCACTGATGAATTGAACAGGAAGAGTAATCCTATAAATAATCAGACTTCACCGGTGATTTATGCACGTAACAGTTTCTATTTTAGTAAGTGTGTGTGTGTGTGTGTGTGTGTGTGTGTGAGGGAGTGAAAGAGAGCCTCTTTATGCTCTGGCAAATGTGCGCAAATGAGTTTTTCTTTCCATCCCCCAGATATTTTGCAAGTGTGTTTCTGCTTTTGACTCAGAGAAACACGGCTGCTGATTTTGAAACATCAAAATCCAATAAACCGTCTCCCTCCTCTGAAAACACACACACACACACACACACACACACACACACACACACACACACACACACACACACACACACACACACACACACACACACACACACACACACACCCCGTTTACACCACCAGCACAGATATTAAACTGTGCGTTTCTGTTTTGGCTAAAGATGACACTGCTCTGTGACCAGACTCTGCGAGGATGAGGATGAGGGAGTGAGGCAGCGTTAGAGAATGGAAGGGAGTGGTTGAGTGAGGGGGCGTGGGGGTGCACAGGTACCAGAGATGGTTTCTTTGTGGTGGTGAGGTGGCGATAAACAACACGAGAGGAAGTAAACAACAGCAGGCCTGGTAAAGGCAGCAGAAGGCTGGAGGACTGCAGGAGATAATAAATGTGGCAGCACATGTTGTGACAGCTGTCTTTCTAAGTGTTACCTAATTTGCTGTAGAAAATTTCCAACAATGATCAAAACTAATGGGAGATGCCACCGTGTGTCTGTATTTGAGAGGGGGTGAGGGATGGGAGGTGAAGTTTGTCTCTTTAACAAGAAGTTTCTAACAATTTCATGTTGATAATCAAAGCCTCTGAAAGAATCGCAGCCTTTAAAAGTCAACTTTTTCTTTTCAAAGTCAAAAAATATTGAAAAACAAGGGTAATTTGGGGATTGAAGGACATATTATGTGTGAAGAAGTCTGGAAATATGGAATTAAGCAGATTGAAGGAAAAGAGGAACACTCTGGCTGCTTTCTTAAGCATCTTAAACTACAGGATTTGCTTAACTTCAGCAGTAAATTTGCTACAATCAAAGCTTTACCAATATGTTTTTCCTCCTTAAATGCAGAAAAGACTGAGCTTGATTCTTAAAGAAAATCAGAAACGGCACCTATACCGTATGTGTGTCATCAACGAGGGCAGCAGTGCTACCCTCCGCTCTATTAGATCCTCATGTCCCTCTGGTTGCTGTAAGTGAAAAGTATTGCTTACATTAAAGGATTACAGATGAAAAAAAAAACCTAAATATGTGAATGATCACAGGGTCTGCATTATCATACAAGTAACCTAAGTGGCCCATGTTGATCTATATCGTTCACTCTCCCCTGAATTTGTTTTTCTCAAAATAATTGGACGTTTTCTGTTGGTCCATAGCATAGCTGTGCATAATTAACTTTGACTTCAAAATGCAACAGTAAGTAGCCAGTTGTTTCATTTATTTATTTATTAACTTACACATTAATATGTGGAGTTAATTGGAGGGGGTGTTGGTGGCTGCATGTCGCTGACGCACACGCACGCACACACACACACACAGGTCTGGAACTGTAAGGTGGAGGAATTAGTGAGCCTCATTGTTTTTTATGAATCAAATGAAGATTTGTACAGTGGCTGTGTGAAGATGGTTGCCTGCATCTCCATATCAAAGAGGCACCCCAGTGCAGCCGGGCAGTAATTAAAATGTGGTGGATTTTGGAGTCCCAGCACACACACACACACACACACACACACACACACACACACACACACACACACACACACACACACACACACACACACACACACACACACACACACGCGTACAGCATAAAGACCAAGGCTGAGAACTGTCAGCTTGTGTGAAAAGAGTGCAGGTGGTTGAAACTGAATTTTAAGCAAACACTCGTGATGTTCTCTGCAGATATTCGAGTGCAGCACGTGATGCAATTTTTTAAAAGGGCAAAATGAGGAAAACGCCTGATCTGCATGTTTTTTACAGTCTTGTATCCATTCTCTTTCTTTTATTTATCGTAACAGTTCTCACTGCTTTCACGTATGCTGTTTCTGAATTGAACATGTTTAGAATCGCCAGTAAAATAAACTAGAATAGAAATGATAATATCGAGAAGAAGTCGTGATCTTTAGCCCTGAGTGACTTTGGTTCTGCTTGAATCGAAGAGCCTCTAAAGACATGAGACTGAGTCTCGCAAGTGAAGAAGGGAAAAGAGATTAGTGTAATGTGGGCTTTTGCGCTGCTCACATACAAAAGCTGCACAACAAGCCTTTTCC